TGTTCAACCCTCCACTCAACTCTGTAGGTGTTGAGAGGAATGTTCTGTAAATGTCTATTAAATCCATTTGAGCCAAGCTCGGTGGCTCAGCCTGTAATCCCAGCACTTTGGGGGGCTGAGGTCAGTGGATTGCCTGAGCCCACGGGTTCGAGACCTGCCTGGGCAACTTGGCGAGACCTCATCTCTACAATAAATTAAAAATAAGCCGGGTGTGGTAGCACGCGCCTGTAGTTCCAGCTACTTGGAAGGCTGAGGCGGAAGGATCGCCAGAGACCAGCAGGTCGAGGCTGCGGTGGCCAGGAGCAGCCACTGCACTCCAGTGTGGGCGACAGAGTGAAACTCCAACTCAAAAAAAAAAAAAAAATCCATTTGATCAAGTGTTGAGTTAACATTCCAGACCTCCTTTTTGTTTTTTTTGCCTTAATGATCTACCTAAACCTGTTAGTGGGTATTATTTCTCCAACTATGATTGTGTGAGAATCTGTGTCCTCTCTTAGTTTACTTAGTAGTTGTTTTCTAAAACCTGGTACTTCTGTGTTTTGTGCTTATATGTTTGTTGTTTTGTTTTGTTTTGTTTTGTTTTTCTGAGTTGGAGTCTCACTCTATCGCCCAGACTGGAGTGCAGTGGCCGCTCCTGGCCACCGCAGTCTCGACCTGCTGGACTCCGGCAATCCTTCCGCCTCAGCCTTCCGAGTAGCTGGAACTACAGGCGCACACTACCACGCCCAGCTGATTTTTTGATTTATTGTAGAGATGAGGTCTCGCCTGCCCAGGCGGGTCTCGAACCCACAGGCTCAGGCAATCCACTCACCTCAGCCTCCCAAAGGTGCGGGATTACAGGCTGTGCCACTGAGCCCGGCCAGAATGCTTATATGTTTAAGATAGATATTTCTTGCAGGTGGATTGAGTCTTTTATCATTATATAGTACCCTTCCATGTCCTATTTAACTTTTGATGGTTTGACGTTTGCTTTGTCTGATGCTCTCTTCTGTTTTCCATTTACCCAAAAGACCATTTTCCAGCCCCCAACATTAAGCCTGTGGGTGTCCTTGGCAATGAGATGAGTTTCCTGGAGGTAGCAGACTGTTGGATCACACTTCTTTATCCAGTTTGCCACTCTGTGTCTCTTCGGTGGCATTTAGTCCATTCACTTTCAAATTGATTCTTGAAATGTGAGAGTTTATCCCTGTCATAGGGCTCTTAGGGGGTTGCTTTGTTTCCTTTTTACTTTTGTATTTATATATGTGCACATTTTCCTCTTTGGGAGTGCTTTGCATGCTCTGATAACTCTGTGCTTGCCTGTACTTTTGTGGTAGGTATAACCATTCTTTTTTTTTTTTTTTCTGTGTTCAACATCTGCTCAAGCATCTCCTAAAGGGCTGGTATGGAAGTGGCATATTATCTTAGGGACTGGATGTCTGGGAACTTAGATTGGCAGGGTAGGACATTTTTAGCTGGAATTGCTTATTTTTAAGAATGTTTAAAAAATGGACTCCAGTCCCTTCTGGCTTGTAGTGTTTTTGCAGGTAGGCCTGGGGTGATTCTGATGGGTCTTTCCCAGTAGGTAGTCTGACCTTTCTCTCTTGCTGTCTTTAGGATTTTTTTTTTTCATCCTTACCTTGTGAAGGTGGATTACTACATGTCTTGGGGATGGTCTTCTCATATGATACCTTGCAGGGGTTCTCTGACTCTCTTGTGCTTGAGTGGTCACCTCTCTGGTGAGATATGGGAAGTTTTCTTGATGACAATAACCTCATATTCCCTGGTGTTCTCAATTTTCCTTTCTACTTCAGGGATACCAACCGGTACAGACTTGGCTCTTTTTTTTTTTTTTTTTTTTAGGTAGAGTCTCACTCTGTCAGTCAGGCTGAAGTGCAGTGGCAAACTCACAGCCACCCCAGCGCCAACCTGTTGGGCTCTGGTGATCCTTCCGCCTCAGCCTACCAAGTAAGTGGAACTACAGGCATATGCTACCCATGCCCAGCTAATTTTTTATTTATTGTGGAGACACGGTCTTGCCAAGTTGCCCAGGCTGGTCTTGAACCCACAGGCTCAGGCAATCCACTTGCCTCAGCCTCCCAAAGTGCTGAAATTGCAAACTAAGCCACTGAGTCCAACCAGATTTGACTTCTTGACATAACCTCACTTCTCTGAGGCTTTGTTTCTTCTTTTTGAGCTTTTTAAAAAAATGTTTTTGACATATTGGGTTAATTCCATATACTTTCAAGCTGTGAGATTCTTTCTTCTGCTTGGTTGATCTTTCCTCCTAGCTTGTTATTATGTTTTGTTTTGCTTTTTTTTTGAGCCAGAATCTTACTCTGTTACCCAGACTGGAGTGCAGTGGCATGTTCATGGCCACCACAGCCTCGACCTGCTGGACTAAGGCAATCCTTCCACTTCAGCCTTCCAAGTAGCTGGAACTACAGGTGCATGCCCCATGCTTGACTAATTTTTTGATTTATTGTAGTGATGAGGTCTCACCATGTTGCCCAGGCTGGTCTTGAACCCCTGGGCTCAGGCAATCCTCTCACTTCCACCTCCCAAAGTGCTAGGATTACAGGTGTGAGCCACCATACCCAGCCTAATGTGTTTTTAATATCCAGGATGAAGTTCTTCACTTCCATTACTTCAGAATGGGTTTTTCTGAAATTGGCCAATTCCACTTTTACTTTTTATATGACTTCAGTGAGTTTTGCTTCTAGTTTCTCTCAGTTCTCTCTGCTCATTTTATCCATCCACTCTCTGATTTCTGTGATTGTCATCTGGGGCACATCATTCTGGGAGATTTCCAGTGTTTGCACTCATAACTGCTTTTTCAAGCACTATCTCTTTAGGACTCTGAGGGTTGCCTATACTTTTTCATTGATTTTTCCTCATTTGTGACAGGCTTCTCTTCCCTCTCTATAATTCCACTTTGGTTTTATTGCTCTGAAGCTAGTCAATGACCCTCTGTTCTAGGATTCTTTCTGTGTTTCAATATAGGTCACTCAGTGAGAGAGGGAGGGACATTCACTTTTGTTCCTTGCTTCATCCTGTGGCAGTTTATCTACTATAGATTTTTCCTCCTGCTGTTAATGTAGCCAGGTTAATTTTCAGCCCCTGCTGCTAGTACTCTGTGGAGAGTGGGTGAGGGTGCAGACCCCTTTCCCCCATCTGCAGTCTACAGTTTGCAGCCCAGATGCCTTCCCACCAAGAAAGCCTTCTGGTGTCTTCATGTCACTCCCTCCCTGTTCAAGCCCACACTCTGCTACCAAAAAAGAATAAGTTTCCTGCCATGTGGGAGGGAGGGATCTGCCTTGTAGGAATGCAGGACTTGGAGGTGATTCTTCTGATCTGACTGGGAAGATGTCCATTAGGTGTTGGTGGTGGGTGCCAGCTGGGTTCACTCTGCAGATGGGCTGCCCCTGTCTGGAAGCCAGCTGCTGGGCTCCACTGGTGGGAGCCACACTCACAGTGGCTGACCAAGTACAAGTTTTTTCTCTGTTCCACTTGGGCTCCAGTTGCCTGCTGCTGTGTGCCCTGACCAGGATTCCTCCTCTGTGGAACCAACAACTCATGTATGGCTTGGAGGGTGACCTGACCCAAACCACCTTAGGCTCACTCACCCACTCTTGTTCACCAGGCAGGGCTTTGTTTTCTGTGACAGCCTGGCACATGGTGGATGATGGGACACCCGGATTCCCACATCTGCTGTTGCTTTGGTATCTATGTGTTCACAGAGACCTCTGCTGGGTGAAGGGTGCTTCACCCATCCAAGGGTGATCAGAGTGTCTCCATCTATTGATGTATTACTCAGTGAGAGAGGCACCAATCTGCTGCTCCATGGTGGCCATCTTGTATTCCCCCTTCAATGTTTAATTATTTTTGACTCTGGGATGATCACTTCAGCTATCTTATTCCCAATTTCACCACAGCAAATCAGAGGACATGCAAGTTTGCCTTAACCTTGACTCTTCCCACTTGTTCCCACTTGCCTTTCTTTATAACCTCCGCTTTTCTTGAGAGCATTATTAGGCTTGAACTTTCCCAAATGAAGTCAGTTCCTTTGAGAAGAAATGTAAGGCACCATGTAAAGTTGTATGACCTACTTATTGCTCCAGGATAACTCTCCAGACCAGGGCTCTGGCGTGATGTGTGGACAACAGCAAGCTGCCCTCTGATTGACACCCCTTCTCTGGGAGCTGAGCACTCAGTGGAGGTGTGGCAGCAGCCTGAGATCCTCTCAGCTTGTCCTCGTGTGGAACCATCTCAGGACCTGAGACGAGGACCCAGTATTTTCAGCCCGCTGCAACCAAATTAGAGCCTCCATTCCATGAGTGGGAGCTGGGCAGAAGAGGGAGACTCCCCCAGTTAACTTGGGACCTAGCCTCAGCAACAGCAACAGGTAGTTGGAGGCAGAATAAGAAATGCTGATGTCCTGATCTTTTTGGGAAGAAAGCCCTCCAACTGAGTGCTGGGGCAGAGAGGGAGCCCTGTGTTCTCAACTCCAGCAGTCTGGAGTGGCATATTCACCTTGCTGAGCTGGCAAGGGAGAGGATTGGAATGGTCTTACTTCAAATATCACACTCTTATAAAATTTTGGTAGATTTTCTTGAGTAGATGTTTCTTTGCTCACTATTTGCCCTTAGGATCATTTCCAGAAGCGTTAGATGATTTTTGTATTTTCTTTTTTCATTTTTAATTGTTTGCTGGTTTTACTAGAAAATAGCACAATTATGCTGGAAGATGATCTCTCTACTACCATAGTGATTCCTATTAGAATATCTGGGTGTTCAAGAGTCAGCTATTCTCAGAAAGTTAATGAGTAAAGATAAGCCTTTCAAAAATTCTGAGCCTATCATAACAGCTGCTAAAAATAACACGATTAAGGAAACAAACTGAGTGAATGAATGGTACATTACTGGCTTGGTTTCTTACTAGGTATAAAGAATTGTAAAATAATTAATTCGGATAACATAGAAAAAACGATATTTGACCATGAATGTGTAATTTGACTACAGAGAGAGAAGAATTCTGGAAGCAAATGTGTGATCTCCATGAATTCCAGGACGACCACCACAATACAGGACCCTAAGAATCCAGAGCACATGAAGACGTTTACTTTTGACTTGGCGTATTGGTCTCACAATGGATTTCAAAAGGATAAAGATGGTGTCCTCATTTCAGCTGATCCAAGTAGTAAATTTGCAGGCCAGGTAAATTGCTTTAAAACACATTTTAATGCCAGGATTTTAAAAATATTTTGTTTTGTTTGATGACATGTTCACAAAAAAACAGTAAAATAATTTTTAGGTACACAGAAATATATGCTTCAATATGAGAATTGGACTTTAAATTTATTCTTTTCATGCTGAACATGAGGTCCAAAAATGCCCCTATTTCCTAAGTAATTTTTAGATACTCAAATCAGATGACTTGCTGGTGTACTGACATACGTTAAAAAAAGAGGCCAGGTGTGATGGCTCACGCCTATAATCCCAGCACTTTGGGAGGCCAAGGTGAGAGGATTATCTGAGCCCACCGGTTCGAGACCAGCCTAAGCAACTTGGTAAGACCTCATCTCTACAACAGATTAAAAAATTAGCCATGCATGGTGGCATGTGCCTGTAGTTCCAGCTACTTGAAAGGCTAAGGTAGAAGGATCATCTGAGCCCAGCAAGTTAAAGTCTGTGGTGGCTGTGAACATGCCACTGTATTCCAGCCTGGGTGACAGAGTGAGACTCCAACTCAAAAAAAAAAAAAAAAAAAAGAATGATAGTCAAGCCAATTATATTTTGCCTTGTTGCCCTATGTAAAATAAGCAGATTTTGTGAGGCACCCAGCATTTGTTAATTTCTGTTTGAATGAGTATTTTTCATGTCCTGCACTAATCTGCCTCAAAGTTGCTCACAATTGGGTCTGGGGAGACAGGCAAATAAGTGTCTTCAAATGTTACAGGTTCTGTGATAAGAATGTGTATGGGATACAATGTGGTACAAAAGTGAGGCCGTCATTTAAATCTCGACACGATATTTGAGGAATTTAACAAAGGCCATGACGTCTAGGCTGAGTTTTGAAAGACAAGAAGACAGATAAGAGGAGCAGCCAGAAAAAGTTATGGGGAAGAAAGGAACAGAGTCTCAGTGACCTGTGGGACAATCTCAAGCATACATGTAATCAGAGTCACAGAACAAATGGGGGTAGAGGACAAAAAATTCTTGAAGCCATGATGACTGAAATGTTTCCATATTTGATGGGAACGAAACCCACAGATCTGAAAAGCTAAATGAGTCCCAAGAAGAATAAACATGAGGAAAATCACAATAAGTCCCATTTTAATTAAATTTCTGTAATCCAGTGATAAACTTAACAAGAGAAAAAAGACTGAGGAACAACAATAACAATGACATCAGCCTCATCTCTACAATAAATCAAAAAATCAGCTGGCCGTGGTAGCGCATGCCTGTAATTCCGGTTATTCGGAAGGCTGAGGCTGCAATGGCCCGGAGTGGCCACTGCACTCCAGTCTGGGCGACAGAGTGAGACTCCAACTCAAAAACAAAACCAAAAACAAAAACAAAACAATGACATCAGATATACCATCAGAACTGTGTAAGTCAGAAGATGATAGAGAGACGTCTTCAAGAACTGAAAGTCTCAACATAGAATACTATGCCCAACAAAAATGATATATTTTTCTTTTTTTGAGTCAGAGTCTCACTCTGTCACCCAGGCTGTAGTGCACAAACACAGCTGTAGTGTTAGCTGTAGTGCACAAACACAGTGGCACAAACACAGCTACCACAGCCTCAACCTGCTGGGCTTAGGTGATCCTTCTACCTCAGTCTCACAAGTAGCTGGAACGACACCCAGCTAATTTTTTGATATATTGTAGAGACGAGGTCTCACCAAATTGCCCAGGCTGGTCTCGAACCACTGGGCTCAGGCAACCCTCTCACCTCAGCCTCCCAAAATGCTGGGTTTACAGGCGTGAGCCACCAGATCTAGCCAAAAATGATTTTTTTTTTCTAATTTTGCATCTGTAAAAGATTATTGATTGTCAAAGCAATAATAATAACAATAATCTGTTAGGGTTCATAACATATACAGAAATAAAATATGGCAACACTAAAAAATGAAAGAAGTAATGGAATTGTTTCAAAATTTTATACTATATATGAAGTAACATAATATCATTTGAATATCATTAGAAGAAGTCTATTTTAAATTAAAGAAATATATTGTAACCCTGAAGTATATGTTCTCAAATTTTTTTATCCAGGACTGCTCTATACTATTAAAAATGTTTGAAGACTTCAGAAGAGCTTTTGTTTATGTGGGTTATATCTATTACTATTTGCTATGTTAGAAATTAAAACCAGGCTGGATGCAGTGGCTCATACATGTAATCCTAGCACTTTGGGAGGACTGCTTGAGCCAAGGAGTTCAAAATCAGCCTGGGCAACATAGTGAGACCCTCATCTCTATTAAAAAAAAAAAAAGAAAATTAGCCAAGCATGGTGTCACATGTCTGTAGTCCCAGCTACTCAGGAGGTTGTGGTGGAAGGACCACCTGAGCCCAGGAGGTCAAGGCTGTGGTGAGCCATGATTGTGCCACTGCACCCCAGCCTGAGTGACAGAGCGAGACCCCAGCTCAAAAACAAATCAACAACAACAACAAAAAAACGGAGTGTACTGGGTCAGATATCCACTAAAATTCATGTCCTTCCTAGAACCTCAGAATATGATCTTATTTGAAAACAGGGTCACTGTAGATGTAATTAGTTAAGATGAGAACATACTGGCATGAGGGTGCCTTTAATCCAATATGACTGGTATCCTTAAAAGGAGAAGTAAGTGACACAAAGAACATGTAAAGTAGAGCACCAAAGGAAGACCAGCAGAGATTGGAATGACGCAGTTCGAAGTCCCAAAAATGCCAAAGATGACCAGCAACCACCAAAAGCCATAAGAGGCAGGAAACAAATTCGTCCTAAGAACCTCCAGAAGGAACTGACTCTCCCATCACTGAATTTCAGACTTCTAGCCTCCAGAACTTGAGGGCATAACTTCTGGTTGCTTTAGGCCACCTAATTTTGGGTTCTTTGTTATGGCAGCCCTAGGATATTAATGTACTGGGGAATTTAAAAAATACCTGTTACTTTAACAAACACATTAAAAATCTATTACTAGTCAACATACATCACATAAAATAAAATTTTTGTGAAAAATAATGTTCTTATTCAAGTTAAGAGAATGGCGCTGTTTTACATTTTCCCAAATCTCTGTAATGCCTGACTTCATAAAAGACAGCTGGATTCTCTGCCCTGTGTGTAATCTCATACAGAATCACATGCCATGTAGCCTCTGACAAACTCCTCTGTACACTTTCTTCACTCTACACTCATGAGAGGGTGACTATGACAAAGGCAAACATTAATATTATCACAACAGCAGTTCTCACTTTACAAATCTCCTGAGAAGAAGGATCTCATGGACCCTGGGATGCATTGTGAGAACAGCTGCGCTACAGCAATCAATACAAAATCAATAGAGCCAGTATAACAAGTCAGTTTTGGATAAATGGAATTTTGAAACATTCTTAGTCTCAAGCACAGCAGGAAAAGAGGGGGAAAAGAAACAAATAGGAGATGGGACAAGTAGAATACAAATAGCAAGATAGGAGATCTAATGCTAATCATGTAAATTATGATTTTTTGTTTGTTTTTTGAGTTGGAGTCTCACTCTGTCGCCCAGACTGGAGTGCAGTGGTCGCTCCCGGCACCGCAGCCTCGACCTGCTGGGCTCCGGTGATCCTTCCGCCTCAGCCTTCCAAGTAGCTGGAACTACAGGCGGGCGCTACCACGCCCGGTTCATTTTTGATTTATTGTAGAGATGAGGTCTCGCCAAATTTCATAATGATAAAGAAATCAATTCATTATGAAGACAAACCAAAAAAAAAAAAAGAAGCTATATAACCAGCCTAAGTGGATATGCACTTGATACCTGAAGTACACGAAGAAAAGGATATAGAAATAAAAAGAGAAACAGACTCATCTTTTTTTTTTTTTAATGAACTAAGAAAGATGGATTTATTAAAGGGAAGATATGTTATGAAGGGCACAACAGACAGGACAGCAGCAAAAGTATCTGCTGTCTGCCAAGAAACAGAAAAATCTACAATTGTGTTTAGTGATTTCAACAATCCTATCTCAGTAACTGATAAGCAAATACACAAAACATCTGCAAGATTAGAGTAGAACAGAACAACTCTATTAACCTAATTGACAATTATATTATAGAACATGTTTACCACTCCCCTTGCAACCACAGCACTACACATTCTTTTCAAATACCCATGGAATTTCCATTATGATAGAGTATATTTCAGATCATAAAACTAGTCTCAATAAATGTAAGAGGACTGAAATCATACAAAGTATGGCCTTTGACCACAGTAGAGTTAAACTAGAAATAATAAAGATATTTGTAAAATTCACAAGTTTTTGAAAAATAACAAACTTCTAAATAATCCATTGGTGAAGTAAGTCAGTCCAAGAAAAATTAGAAAATATTTTGAACTAAATAAAAATCAAAACACCTATCAAAATATGTAAAATGCACTTAAATGGAGTTTAGAAAAAACTGTATGGCAGTAAAGGTTATATTAGGTAAAAACAAACTTAAATCAACATTCTTTCTTTTTTTTTGAGTCAGAGTCTCACTCTGTTGCCCAGGCTGGAGTGCACTGGCACACTTATGGCCACCACAGCCTTGACCTGTTGGGCTCAGGCGATCCTTCTGCCTCAGCCTTCTAAGTAGCTGGAACTACAGGTGTGCGCCACCACACCTGGCTAATTTTTTTTATTTATTGTAGAGATGAGGTCTCACCGTGTTGCTCAGGCTGGTCTCAAACCTCTGAGCTTAGGCAATCCTCTCACCTCTGCCTCCTAAATTGCTGGGATTATAGGCGTGAGCCACCATGCCCAACCTCAAATCAACAATCTAAGCTTCCACTTAAGAATTTAGAAAAGCCAGTTTTCCCAGCACCATTTACTGAATAGGTTCTCCTCTCCCCAGTGGTAGGTGGTGGAGGCTTTGTCGAAGATGAGTTGGTTGAGAAATTGAGGTCATGCAAACTAGTGCAACCTCTGTGGAAAGCAGTGTGGTGATTCCTAAAAGCTCTAAATATCGACCTCCCATATGAGCCTGCAAT